TTTATTTTTTTTTTAATTCAGTTGTTATAGGGTTTTCAATGTTTGGGATCAGTTAGACATACAAACTGGTCAGCTAATATGCACACTATATATAATGAGAATCATGTCACCATTGCAAAGTTTTCCTTACATCATACAGGCATAATTAGCAGCAATAAAATATATTTCAATATGGTGGTTATGGAATTTATTTCCAAAGAAATACTTCTTTGTTTAAGGGCATCAGTTTTAAGCAATAGAGTGGCAAAGAGTACTGTGTTACACACTGTCTGAGAGCAATAGTAGACTCACACTATCCATCTGTATCGTGTTACCTCCCTTTCCTACTCTTTTGTTACTCCCGAAGAGCAAGAAAGGTGTTTCTTGGTGACTAAACAATTACTTGCTTGTAGCAACTATTTTTTCAGTACCACAGGCAACATATACCACTGTACTTGGGATGTGGACTTGTTTGGGTATATTAAATTACTTTAGTGCTGCTTAGTAATTCCTTGTGAAAAAGAGGAATAATGAAAAGGATAATTTACTGCAAACAAAAAGGTAAAATCCTTATAGACATGTTCAAGTCTCTTTTAGGGGAAAATTCAGGCCAAGTCGTTATACTCTGCAGTCCTTTGGTCGTTTTGGGTTTTTTACAAATTTCCAGGGCTGCAGAATGAAATCCCATTACACGTTTGGCATACTTTTACCCATGTTTTGGCTGCCTTGCAACTGGTGGTCTGTGGTTTAAAAACATGGAACAGTAATGCACACAATCAGTTGAATTAAATCTGCCTCCAGCTGTTCATAGTTGGCGTATTAAATTACCCCTGTTGAAAAGGCCTATGCTGGCTGTGCTTTTTGCATGTTTAATCTTTGGGGATTTTTATTTTTAGTTCATGTTTAGTTAATATTTTCCCATGTCAAAACAAGATGAATGTCAGGCAAAGGCTCAAGTCCAAATTCTCTGTTTTGCCCTCTTAATATTAGATCAAAGAAAGGGATTTCTAGTGTATTTTATGTCAGGATATGTTGTGCAGGAGACTGTCAGACTCGCTGCTGTCATACACTTGTTATTGCTCTTTAAAAAAATAAGGGGATTAGGAAAAACAGCTTTATTCTGGATCGACAGAAATGTGTTTTGAATAGATTCTAATACTCCTACAGTCATAGGATTCATTCAGCACATTAAGGAGCATGCAACTGTTTATATCAAGTCAACTCCCAAGCATCATGTCAAAACATGCTGTGTTAAAGATTGTGAGAAGCGTCTGTTGTTGAACTTGATTTGACCCAGATGAAGGAGCCAAGTAACTGACACCCTCAGTCTCCCTGCAGTCATGGAAGAGACAGCTTTCTGAAGATGGTTGAGTAGCAACATGAGCCCTGTTAGCTTCCCTTCTCTGGTCTGCTGTGACCAGGCATGGTAGTCCTGGTGGGATCCCTGGAGGTAATTTAATAATATCTCGTTGGACACTGGCTGCATAATACAAACGTGTGTGCTCACAGGGATATATATGCATGTGCTGGTGTTTATGGGCATGTGTGTTAGTGCTCAGTTTGTGAGCCATCTTGAAATTGCATTTGTACTTTATTTGGTAGTGATTACAATTTTTGATTGTGTGCTTTGGTTAGTCTAGTATCATGATATATAAAACTGGAGTACCAGAACTTGATGGTGAATTTTGTGTTGCATTTCCACTCCTCAAATGTTCCTATAGTTCCAATGCTGGCATCCTTATTTGAAAGCTATAGCGTGTTGGTACATTAAGTCATTTTACAGACTCTATGAAATTCTTAAAATTTGAAGTAATAAACACAATTTCTGCAGATTCTTGAGTGCCCACATACCTTACAGCCACTACAGCTTTTCTCTTTTCCAAGAAAACCCTTACTGGGATGATTAAATTACCCTGCCATTTGTGTTATAGCATTATTAGTTGAACTTTCTGCTCTCAAGCAGCTGTTCACCAGCAGCAAAACAGTGGGGTAAACACGTGAATGTTCTTTGTCTGCATAATTATATTTATACTAAAAGGATGCTTAAGTAGAGAATCCCTGGGCCAGTTTACCATTTTCCAGCTTTACACCAAATTTATTGGGTTTCTCTTTCTTTTGCCTATGCTTCACCTCTCCAAGTAGTTTTGTGAAATGTAACTTTGTAGCTTTTGTGTAATCTTTCTGGCAAACAAATTGCAAAGACCAAAGAGAAAACTGGGGGTCTTTTTTGGCACTTGAAGAGGTTTTAAGGCTCAAGTATCTGCCTAATTTGGCATTTTCCTTCCTGCATAGCGTCATTCCTTTTTACCAAAGATTAGACAACCAGAACTAGTTCTGGTTTCAGGCTGTTGTAAGAGTTCAGAAATTATTTAATAACTGGACAAGTAGAAGTGATTCATTAAGAAGCATCATCAGGTGTGTGTCCATTTGGGATTTTGTTTTTCTTGTAACAAAATGTAAAATAAACAACTGCTGCCAAAGCTGCGTGAAGCACTTCAGATGCCTTAATGAAACTGGAGCCATTCTAAGCAGCTGTTGTAGTCATTTTTTCGGGTCAAATCACATGATGAATGTTTTCTCTGCCTCAGTGGCAAAGCTTTCGTGTCTTGGCTTTCTTGCAAAGCAGACAAGCAGTGAGCTGTCATGTTATGATCCTGTCTGTTGTCAGTCAAGGTTCTCTGAGTCACAGAGCTGGACTTTAGAGACATTTTTGTATTTGAAATGGTCCTCTGTTGTACATTCGGAGAGTCTGGAGACTTGATTGATGCTGAAAATATGACATTTTCCTTCCTTTTTAAGTTAAAAGCAAAGCCGTAAAAGGATCTTCCCAGAGTGTGTTCATGATAAATCCAGGACACATTTATGTAGCGCTTCATTGACAAGCTCTAAGTACTGATCAGTATGTTTCATGTGTATAATTGCTGAGCCTGGCTAAAGGCTGATTCGACTCCAGCATTTCCTGTTTGAGTGTGAGTGTGTGTGTGTGAGAGGCAGAGAGAGGCAGAAAGAGGGGAGGTTAACAGGGCCAGCTGTCATCTCTCACTAGTGCTAACTAACTGCTAATCTCTCGCTCAGTTCCACAATGATGACATTGAGTCCCACAGACTGTCGGCCATCCCATCTGCCACAATAGTCAATTAAACATGATCAAACTTGGTGGGAAAGTCAGAAATATAAGGAGGGTTTTTTTTAAGAGTAAGGACATGAATTTTAAAATGAGAAAAGGGTGCTTGGGTAACAAATGAAAATATTTCTTTGGGAGTGTTGTTGCATGCGCTCACATGCTTCCATGCTTTTGTGTCTGCATTGTCACTTAGGAATCCAATCTATACTGTCCATCTGCCGCAGCATGATAGGGCTCCCAGAGGACGTGGTACTTGAGGTCTGTGCATGTTAGACACAGTTCAGACATATGACATCACAGGGATTGAGTATCATCACTAAGAGATGGAAACTGATAACATGGCTCTAACTTAATCTGGGGTTTTCCTTAAAAGTGGAGATTTATTTCCTGAAAAAGTCTCCCTAAAATTACAGACACGTTATAAATTACAGGAAAAAACAACATCTGCGATCTTAGTAAGGTGTTGGATTACCATTTGCTGCCCGAGCTGCTTCATTGCACCAGTGATGAAGTCACTACCTGACCTTCCTTAGGTTTTTAACTGGGTTGTGCTGTAGTGACTATGAAGGGCAGTTCAAATTCTGGCTTTACATATTAAGGCTTTTTTGACACTCTGTCTCTATGTAGGGGGCATTGATAACCTGCAAGAGACTACTTTCACCATTATAGAAATGTTTCATTATTAAATGAAAGTGATCAACTAGAAAAACATTTTGCTTTCCAGCGAACCTTCACATTGAGGGGACAAGTGGAACCACCCCATAACAGA